ATTTGTAGACTTTAAAGCTGGATATCGCTGACCACAACCACCTATTCAGTGCTAAGATAAGAATACCTGGGTATTAAATGCTCAGATGCATCTAAGTCAGGGAAGAGCGGATTGCAGTTATTTTTTTTACAAACAAGAGGAGAATCTTAGTTCATCCTGCATGTAAAAATTCTCCAGCTACAAATTGGTAGATTTCTTTAGCCTGTGGAGCTCTGGAGCAAATTACCATTTAGATCAGGTAAATGAGGAGGTACTCCCTTACTGACTGTTCCTGGGTCTTTAATGGTTTCTCCTTGATTGCTCACTTAATCCACCTATTAGACTATTAGCTTCAATGTAATCCCATTGCTCTTCCAAAATTATTTGTTCCGGTATATGACTTTGCTTTATTGGTCCTACAGGCTAATATTAGCACAAGATTTTCTAAGACATTTTCCTGTTTATTGATACGTTTTCTATAATGCTATGTATGGTCAATCAGGTGAGTTTGACTTCTGCAATGCAGTGAAAGTAATAGATGGCTTAGGTAAGTACAAGGCAAAACTAGAATTATAGTGCTTAAGAACAGAAGTATGAACGCATGCAACTTTCAGGTAGAGATTCCCTCATTTATTTTGCAAAACTGGAAGTTTTAGGTGCAAGCAAAAATTTAGCTTCTGGTTATCGTGCAGGACTGGGAAATGATGTTCATGTTTCATGCTGTTGAAATACGGTCCAGATTCACATGTAAAATCAGTCCTTTCGTGGTGCTTTGGCTGTGTAAAAGGGGCTTAATGAATTATATTTACAGGTCCTCAGCTGGGTCCTTTGTTCTGCAAATGGCTTTAAAAGGAAATCTGGAAATCTGTGAACTTGGTCTAGAAATGCAGCTACTTCTGGAGTGGAATGTAACAGCAGCATAATCATTTGAGGTTGAAATGGAAGAATGATATCTGAAAGGGGAAAATGGAGGGCCTTTGCATCTCTTAAAATGTAATTACCTAAAATGTTATTTGTAGAGAAAGAGACAGGAACAGCTTGCAAAGAGGTCGTGTGGGGGCTTAACGACTTTGGTTGACCTTGGTTTTCCGTTTACTGCAGGTGTTAACTTTCCCCAGTCCACATAAGCAGGGTGTTCTTCATTACAGTTTCAATACTGCATCCCCAGTGGGGAATCTCATCTTCCATTCAGCATCAACCATACTTCACCTAGACCAGCATTTCCCAACCCATGGGTCACGACCCAAAAGCAGGTTGCAAGAATGAAGGGGTCTTAAACAAACTTTAAAAATGGATCAAAGTTTAAAAATGAATTCCCCTTTAAAGGACAAAAACACAGGTACCTGTGGCTTTTCACTTGCAAACTGGCAGAGTTCCAGTCGGTAAGGAGCTGTTTGCCCCTCTCCCCCCCTCCCCT